CTCTTCCCATGTTCAAATCGCTGTTAGTTTTAAAGAGTGCCTGGTATGACCGAATATCGCAGAGATGTTGATGTTTATCGGCAACAAAGGGACGACCAAAACTATACTGACAGCGCATCCCAGAATGCATTTTATGTGTTTCTCCGCTGTCCTCCAGATTGGCGGCGCAATCTCACTCGATTCTGTGCATCTGCTCAAATTCTCCTGACAAGAGGCAGAACTTTACGAAGTCTACCGAGGGTGTTTATACTGCGCAGAGCATTTTTTCTCTTTTGGATATTAACAGTTATTCTGTTCGTGTACCTGAAGTGGTATTTTCCCCTATATCTGACAAGCACGGTAAATCGCAACAGTTTAGAAGAGTTTAGATGGGACTGGTGTCGAGTGCGGAGGGTTTCGATAGACTGGGAATCACTCAGTTCCCCTTGCGAAGGGAACGCCAAATTTGGTATAGGCCTACCCGGTTGGGGGATCGGAAACAGGACTGACCCGAGGCAAAGCTTCATGCCTTCTATGGATATCAGACCTGCAGGCGAGTTTAGTAGGTTCAGTATTCAGTCTCAGACATCTAATGGTAAACCTAAGGCTATCGGGGGTGACGATTGGCGGATTCTTATATGGGGCCCATCAGTGCTGGCACCGACAGTGATTGATCACGGTAATGGAACGTACGAGGTGCTGTTTCTTATCTTGGAGCCTGGTACCTACTCTGCATCAATTGTTTTGGACTACTCCCTATGCGACGGAATGAAAAATCCACCTGATTACTGGTTCCTGATTGGTAAGTTGAGGTAGACGCCTGTTTCATACGAATAGTGTAAGATTTATAACAAACTCACAGAGAAAATTATTTTCTGATGTGACTCTCAGGGTCTTTTTTCCTACGCTCAGAGGTACAAAGCGGTGAAATGTTTGCGCATGAGCAAAAGTTATAATGGCCAAGCAGAGTGTTTAGTGTCTGAACCAAGATTATTACATGAGTTATAAACAGCCACATAAGTTTGTAAGTCACGGTGTATTAAAACTGTATAAATTTTTGATAATGCTCCAAATGAAATTGTAAATCAAGAGGATACTGTAATCAAATAAGCTTTGTGTTTCTTTCCTTTTCCTCCTTCTAGTTTCCCTTTTCAGATTTCTTTTAACATATTCTATATGCTTATTTTCTGCGAAAGAGATTTTTTTGTATGTCATCCTTTAAAATTTTGCGCGGTTTCTTCCTTTCTCTGTTCATCAGGAAATATCCATGGAAACGGCCAACCACATGGTACCCTAATGGAACCTTACGTCTATTTACAAATTCCTCTTTGGGAAGGAATACCGCTGACCATAGAAGTGCCGTCACCGGTTGGTCCGACTAGATATGAAGGTAACGCTCCACACATCATCTAGGTCAGCGCAGAGTTATTCCGAGAGGGAATTGGCACGAATCCAGGTTTAAATTTCATTGGGATATCTTTGATAGGGTTAAACCACACATGGGTGATTCATAAACTGGATTACGCGCAGTTAGCTGAGTGGAGCAAACTTCGATTGAGCGTGGAAAGAAATCAGGAATCGCTTTGGCTCTGCTCCTCTTCCCAATGTGATAGATCCAAAAAACTCGTGTCATTTTCTGATTCAATTAGTTTTAAATTAACGTAATCGATATCGTAACTTGGTCACCCGGGTTTTCCCGCGCTTCCGACCGCTCGAGTTCTCATTGGCTGTCTGTGATATTTTCCTTCTTCTGATTGGGTGTCGTCATCGGCAGTGGAGCAGGGGTGACCGTAGCAGGAGGGTGGGGGGGGAGAGAACCTGCTATCGATTAAAGATTTTTAGCATATTTTTAACATGTTTTCAGCTGTGAACAACACTCATTTGGAATATCTCAATACTCAATAACCGATCTTTTAGCATTCTGAACAAAGCCTAACGTCAGTTTACACTTTCAGAATTTCTCAGTTATGGATTTGGCAATTCTCCATCTTGCAGCGAGGATTGCAAGCTCTTATGGGATGGCTTTGGCCGCTGGTCTAATGGAACCTGGAAGGCACATGTGGAAGGTAGCGCAAGTCGTTAGTATAGACCACTTTCATAAATGGCTGCCGGATTAATATTCTTTTGTTTAAATTCAAATTAGCCCTTCTGGCCTCGTTCTCCAGTACAAAATTCAAAAGAATACATTATCTCAAGCGAGGCCAAAAGGGCTAATTTGAATTTAAACATAAGAATATTAATCTGGCAGCCATTTATGAAAGTGGTCAATACACCAAGAGAGGCGTCACCGAAAGGCATACGTGAAACTCGCATGTTTTCCGAGACTGCATTCTTTCTAACAGTCCGATCAAATTTGCTTACCAGCTGCTAATCTTTAATCGCTGAAGACTTAACTACGGCTTTCTACCCTTAGTTTAAAAGAGATCTTAGCTTTGAGGAAACAGGCTGCAAAACAGGTAGAGTTAAAGTGAAAACATTGTTCCTTAATTATAGAGCGAGTTTCAAAATTCCTCAAAATAAAACCAAATGCAAAGCCGATCTTGCACGTGAACATTACTTTTATTTACTCCAGAATAAAAGGCATTTTCACATCAAAGATCTCCCATTTCTTCTGGTCTTAAAAACAAATGCGCATGCCTTCGACGTCTCGGAAATAGCTTATTGTAAAACGGCTTGTTCTTTTAATTTCTTCAGGTTTGTGGACGACACGTTCTTCAAGGAACCGAGAAGGCCTATTGTGGATTTATGGAGATTCAAATGCGGGTCGGTTTTACCGCTCTATCAGCCGAACGCCGCTGTGTAATACAGTTTTCCGCGGTTGCAGTTTCTCGTACAACTGGATCTATCCAATTGAAAATGCTACTGTGGAAATGCAACAAAGAAATTTCCTAGCAATAAATGTAACCCGAGTGGTGGACGCCATTGCAAAAGTAATGTATTTGCCACAGATGAACAACAAGAAAAGTGTCATTCTTCTAAATCATGGTCTGCATTTTATGACTTCCACAAACTTCACAACATACCGCGAGGTTGTCGACGGAATAGTGGATTTGTTTAAAGAGACTAAGACCAACAAGGACGGAAAAGAAGAACTTAAGTTCCAAGGGAAAGTTATTTGGAAGACAACCTCCGCCATCCACCGGGAAAGATTAAGATCTCCCCATCATCATAAGCGAAGATTTTTAACTCGTCAGGTACGTAAATCCACATTGTTGTCCGTTGTGGTATTTTTGTAATGCTTAATGTAATAGTTTCTATCAGAGATCCATGGGAAATATGTGATTACGTAAGTCGAATAATTGGAAAAGCCGGCACAAGTTTAAGACCAACGAAAACAACAGTGCTATTGTTTTTTGTCAGTAGCACCCAGACCACGCGCGATCTTTTGTGTTTGTGTACACTTATTCCATGAAAAGATGGATATAGTCGATAGAAACGTGTGCACGCGTGGAAACAGTCCAGCGGGGATCCGTTGCTTGTTGTTGGCATACCAGGAATTGTTCACCTGAATTCATTCAAAGTCGAATTATGTTTCGTGCAACCGTGCAACACAGCGATCAAAGGTTGAGCATGCGCAAATGGATCGAGTTTCCACGACAAAAAATAAACCCCATGACGCAAAAGAAGGGAAAAGGGAACACTGACTCTTTCGAACACGAAGTTTATTCAGTTGCAGGTATTCTATTGATTCATCATTTTGCTCAGACCGCCGCACGTTATTAAAAAATCATGATCATGAATGACCAGCTTTTTTAACTATCTAAAGGTCAATGATACAATTTTTGGCCGCTTCTTAGCTGTTTCAACTTCCGTACATGCACAGTCGTTTGTCCGTTGTGTTGCTTTCTTCCACAGAATGTAGACCAATGAAAATAAAACTATTAGGAAGTATTGCCAGATAACTTGAAGATTCTTTTCAAATTTTTCTATTTAAATTAACGCCTTCTAGCGGGTACAACTGTACAACGCTTACTCTACCTGGGCCATGTGTCAAGCTGGTTTTGAGGTACTTGATGTGTACCCAATTAGTGCGTCTTTTCCAAATGGAACCGACAACAGCTTGGATCCTTACGACGCCGTCCATTACAAGAACTTGGTGTTCAAGCCTGTGGAACACATTCTTCTCGAATACTTCAGTCCTAGGTGGACAACAGTCAATAACACAAACAGAGAAGTGTGAAAAACCTTGGGGATGAACGAGAACAATCCGCCGAAGCAAATTCTGAAAAGCTGACGGTTCGGCGTTAGCCCTCCCCGGAGAGTAAATATTATTGACTGACGCATAGTGATTTGCCTCCACCGACCTCCCTAGAAGGTAGATAGTATTGATCGGCGCCAAGTGATTTGCCTCCACCCAAGGTTAACACCCGAAAAACGTCAGCTGTTCAAAAGATTGCTGGCACTTTACCTGCCTTTCTAAAGTTTTCGGGTTATGGAACAATCCAAAGAAATTAATTGGATTAATTAGTATTTAAGCACTACGTGCGATATTTTTCTTATTCATGTTGATGCTGTTTTTTTCTTTTTTGAGGCTTAATTTGAGTTTTAATATTGTTGATTTAAAAGATGTCACAGAGGACGGTACGCAAAGATTATAAATATTTTGTAGTTTTATCAAATACTCACGCAGGAATGCTTCATTCGTAGGCAGTGCTTTTCTTATTCTTGATGCTGCTGTTTTTTTAATGCCTAATTCGAGTTTTAATATTGTAGATTTAAAAGATGTTTTCGGAGGACGGTACGCAAAGATTATGAATATTTTGTAGTTTTATCAAATACCCACACACAAATGTTTAGTTCGAAGGTAGCCATCTTTGTTTTAGACTTTTGATTTTTCCTGACTGGAACTGACTTGGTTTATTTGCAAAGATGAAAATACGTTCAGAATTACTTATTAAAAGGTTTGGAATTGTATTTCTCTTTAATTCAGAGGCCCGGCAATGTAATAGAATTGACTTTCACCTTTTCTTGTTATTCAAATTATTATTAGATGTTGTTTCGGTCAATATTTCTAAACGTATTAGCTGTACGGTTGGAAAAGAAATTCCACATCTACGCACACTCATGTACCATTTTCTAAATTACAATTCTTGGGGGGCCGCTTGGCTCGTAAATTAAACGACAACAGACAGACAGACTTAAACCTTTTGTTTGTGTTCATTAAGATAAAATTCATACCATATGTGTTAAACCTCGCATTAGAGGCTATAGGATATAACATCTACTTCAGTGAGAAGTGCTGTGGTAACATAATTTTTTTAAAATTTAATAATGAAACTACAACCTAGCTTGGACCCTTGTTATATTGTATTTCACTGATAAATTTTACTTGAAAATACACGAACGTTATAGCTTTCGTCAACGGAAAAAAAAATAATTTCATTATTTTCTTATGACGCTCGAGTTAAAAGTCTTGTCTAAAACTACAGTCAACAGTAAAGGCGTATTATAATCAATGAGACCTGAGACATTCAACAGGTACGAAAACATGACGTCACAAATCATGTGACACGGATAGCGACGGGTGAACAAAGAGCAAAAACTTGTCAAGTGAATTTTTGCGATTCACCGGTTAAAAAAGATTCTATTATTCTATTTAAAAACACCACCTGATGTCACTCAAGAACAGAGATTTTTAATATCTTGTAACTCGAAGATGGGATAACATGCAACGGTGTGAACAACTTCTTTCTTGAAGTTGAGAGGTAAGAGAAATGGCGAATTGATTAGCGCCGGTTAAATAGCCACTTTACCAAACATTACAAGTATAGCATAGCTGGGATATCTTTATCATCTCTGTGTACAATCTTTCAAATGAATGTCACTATGGTTTAGCTACGAGTTCCACTGTGTTTGAAAGAAATCTTCCTATGGGAGAGAATCGATAGCGTGGATCGTGAATTGTTTTCATAGAGACAAGTGCAAAGGGTAACAGGTTCCTTTAAGACAGGTTCTATTCAAATGTTCAAGTGCGAAGTTGTTTTTGGAATTAGGTAATTTGTTCGTCTCAGAGTGAACGATTTTTCTCTTTGTGTTGCGCGTAGATCATATGAGTGGGATTGATGAGGATGACCCAGATTTCATCGCTATTTCCTTTGCTGACAACCAAAATTGCGACAGCATGCGAAGGAAAAAATTGATTCCGTCGCTCCAGCAGTCCATCAAGACACGGGTACATAGAGTCGGAACTTTAAGAGGGCTGCCACGACTGTTTCTATTACGACGAGCATTTTGCTTCTGCTGGGGTGTGATAATATCGCTGTTTATCTACCTCAAGTGGTATTATCCACTGTATCTGACAAGTAATGTCAGCAGAAACACTTTGGAAGACTTTGGCAGGGACTGGTGTCGAATGCGCAATGCTCGGATAGATTGGGGACTACTGCGAGAACCTTGCATTGGAAATACGATCTACGAAAAGAATTTACCCGGATGGGATATGGAAAACCGAACTAATGGGCGGATGAGTTTTGTTTCATCGACGGATATTCGACCTGCTGGACAGTTTAGCAGGATTATCATTCAGTCCCAGACTGTTGAGGCCCTTCCGAAATCGGTCGGTGGGGACTACTGGCGAGTCTTTATCTCGGGTCCTACTGGGTTTGCGCCCACGGTAACTGACCTTGGTAACGGAGAATACGAGATTCTGTTTTTGATCTTATATCCGGGGAATTATTGCTTGTCAGCAGTGCTGGATCATTCTATATGTGACGGAATGAAAGACCCTCCAGATTATTGGTTTATTTCAGGTAGGCTGTTAACCAAGATAAATGGATCCTCGAGGATTCAATATCTACATTGATTTGAAAATAAATTGCCTCAGCATTACGAGACTTCCCGTTGGAAAAAGCCCTATATCGGACGGTCAGTCTCACTGCATCATCCGCTCTTGTCGTTACCTTGAACTGCAGTCGTATTTAAAGTTACAGTTTAAACTACGTGAAATGGGACACCAAACGCTTTCGCGGCATCCTCGTTCTCGGATTCCTTCCTCTCAAAGGAACGCTTAGGACTCTGGACACGAGTTTGAAGTTTTGACCAATGATTATGCAGCTTCAACATCATATTCAGTAAATGGGGTAATGCAACGTCAAAGAGTAAATGTCATAAATTTTCGCGTTGCCCTATTTTCAGACAGTATTTTCTTTTCTTCAGGGAACAGTCACGGGAGCAACCAGCCACAGGGAATTCTGAACGGAAAGCAAGTTTACCTAATGCAGCCGCTTTCTGGAGGCAAGGAGTGCTGTTTTGACGTGCCTCCGAGCAACGGGCCAATGAGAAGAGATGGTATGCATTTTAACTTCAACAACATTGTTGTTGTCTTCAGCGTACTCTTTAAATCGAAGCAAAATGGTGAAATCGAAAAGATCTGGGCCGTGTGGACAAAATTTGGAAGCAACTCTCTAGTTTTGTGAAGAGTAAGAAAGATGGTAAAAACAAAATTTGGAAGCAACTCTCTAGTTTTGTGAAGAGTAAGAAAGATGGTAAAAACAAAATTTGGAAGCAACTCTCTAGTTTTGTGAAGAGTAAGAAAGATGGTAAAAACAAAATTTGGAAGCAACTCTCTAGTTTTGTGAAGAGTAAGAAAGATGGTAAAAACAAAATTTGGAAGCAACTCTCTAGTTTTGTGAAGAGTAAGAAAGATGGTAAAAACAAAATTTGGAAGCAACTCTCTAGTTTTGTGAAGAGTAAGAAAGATGGTAAAAACATACAACACTTATAACACGCTATAACACGCTATCGACATTGACTTATAACACGCTATCGACATTATAAAATTAATTAATTAATTGATTAATTATTGCTATTGACTTATAACACGCTATCGACATTGACGATCCTAACAGTTTGCAGGACGCGTGTCAAATGCGAACTTCGTAGAGTCTTTGTGCTCAGTGGTAGAGGATCGGAGCGCAGAATCCGAAGGTCTGAGGTTCAATTCCTCATGGGAACTCAAAATTATTTCTTTGTTCCACGCTAGAGACAGGACGAAAAACATCTTACGAAAACTCTCTAGTTGTCAGTTAGTAGGAAATAAAGGGATTTAGCCAAAGGAACAGTCTAATTCTAGTTGCTTATTTCAGACAAGAGAAAGGAAGTGTGGCGGAAGTGCGAAGAAACTGCGAAGTGTGAGTTATATTCTTGAAGAAATATTCGCATTGGTGCATGACTCACCCCTCGCACTCGCGTCACACATGCCTCTCGCATACTTGTGGTAAAGCCTGCACCGTAAGGGCTATAAACTTTATACCCAATTCTTGAGGCACTCGAACCCAAAATGGTTCCATCGCAGCCGTTTTATTTAATAGCTTGGTTCTTTCGAATTCTTAATATTGTTATTTTTCTTTTGCAGAATTTTTGAGTTACGGGCTTGGATACCCGTCCTACTGTGGAACAAATTGTAAATTTCTTTCGGATGGCTTCGGCTACTGGAGCAATAGGACCTGGGTACCACACGCTCCCGGTAAGAAGTTGTACTCTCACTCAGACCCTGTACGGCCCCCACATCCCTTTAAATATGTCTTTAAGGTACAAAGACTTGAAAAAGTCTTAAATTTTACTGGTCCCAGTCTTTTTTGTGTCCAGATAGACGGGCCGAACTCTGAAAGTTGTTCCTATCCTCAGGACCATGTCGTCCACAATTCTGCTTTGGGACAAAAGAGGGAGCCGACGGAAATCGAATGAGTGCAAATAATCACGAGAAATCTTCGAGATAAGAGCACTACTGATTCAAACACGTTTAATCACTGTGCAATCTATTGTAACACTCATATAATTAATGGACTGTCTTTTGTTGTTGTCATTTCGTTCAGTTTTTGACTTTTAAAAAAATCATCCCGAACGAAAGGCAAAACAAAGTGACTGTCCGGTCACAAATAAATCACGACACTTATCGGAAACATTTTGAATCCTTACTTTTCAGAGAGATTATTCAAGAATTCTCCACGCAAGAGAAAGGGAACTCTGTGGATTTATGGGGATTCATTAGCTTTGCGGTTTTACGATTCCATTTACTACACGCCGCTCTGCACGGAAATCTTCAAAGTCTGTAATGTGACGTACACTTGGGTGTACAACATGATCGAACCAGTGGAAGTTGAAAAGTATAAAAGGAAATATCGAGATTTCGATCCTTCCCGGGTGCTACAAGAAATTCGAAACGTCATATATCTCCCTGAAATGGACGAAAACAGTGTGATCATTTTAAACTGTGGATTGCATTACGTATCGGCGTTAAAATTTGCAATTTATCGGAAGCTCATTGATGCAATTATTGACATGTTTAAAGAGACATGGGAGAATGAAGAGGGCGTCGTTGAAAGGAAATTCAAGGGAAAACTAATTTGGAAAACGACGACGGCCATTCACAGGGAGAGATTTTTGTATCATGACCATCCGAGCCCGCGGTTCTTAACTCTTCAGGTACGTTAAAGACACCAGTTTTATTCAATCGATTGCGTTCGTTAACCCCCTCCCCTCACGGTTCTTTTTGCATTGTACACGTGGCTTCTATAGGGTCTCTTGGGGCTAGATAGTGACAAAATAATCGCAAGGAACAATAAGGACCTCATGCAAACGGGGGGGAGGGGAGGGGAGGGGGTTTGTTGGCGAGGTCACGGCAATTTTTCAGTTCTTCTTCTGATTGCTTGAGTGGGTGTGGCTTATGGTGTGAAACTTCTAGACCAATCACAAAGCGAAACAAATTAAGTCAGTATGCAAATTCTTTTCACCGTTTTCTAGTTACGTCCTAAAGGTCCTGACAGGTGAAATTTGTTTAATAGTCGATAGCTTCTTAATTTAGTTAGTGCTCATTTTCTTTGTTCTCGTGACCTTGAGATAATAGCCTAGGGAGGAGTGAGCTAAATATATTTTAAAAAATCATCGTATTCATGAACACAGATCGGTAGTTTTAACCGTTTACACTTTAATATCAGTATGCATATTCTCCAAATGAATAAGGTTACATGGATTAATTGACCACTCCTCATAAGGCTTTTCAGGGCCAACACCCACCCATCCC